AAAAAATTTTATTTTATTTTTTTAAAGAAAAATACAACTTACAAGTGGGAAAACTCACATGCAGAGGGAGAGGGCTCCAGGTTTGGCTCATGGCAGTGTCAAGGCCGGCATTATGCTTCAGGCTGGATTCCTCTGGGACACAGCGGACACTCAGTAAATGCAGGATGACTGGCATTCAGGGCAACTTTAGGGTGAAGCTCATGCAAGTTTCAGGGCATCTGATTTGCACAGGCCCTGCCAAGACCCTCAGAAAGATCCTGTTGATATGTTCTTATATATGTTCTTATCTGTGAGGCAGGCGGTGGAACCATTAAGCTAAATCCCTGGCCCCCAAAGGGAAGATATTTAAGGTGCAGTTGGCTAAGACCACTTCTTTTTACTGTAGTACTTCTTTGTTGCAAATCCCTTTGCCCTGGGTGATGTTGGAGTAGCCTCAGGCATTTATAGGATCTTGATTGGGTTTGGAAAAATATTTTTATGTGGCTCAAAGACACTTTGGGGTACGGGTATACCTAAACTACCTAACTAGTTATCCCGGTGTAGAAATGGCTCCTAGGAATGCTCCAGCTACTCACTAGGTATAAAGCCGAAGTCTAGTGTAGTATGATTGTGTCCTTTGGTGGCCACTCTGGAAGCACTTGTGTAAGAGAAATGAGTCAAGAACTGAGGTAATGTCCCGAGGTCGATCCCCTGTACCGAGAAAAAAAAAAAAAAGAAAAAAAAGAATTGAGGTAATGGAGCCAGAAGGTACTCTGTGGAAACCATTTCCAAAACATACAGCTAACATGAATTTTCCAGAAAAATTCACATGACATCACCAATACTATTTGGAAGCTGAAACTTTTTTTTAATTGTAAGAAAAAGAAAAGTCCATTGGCCAAGTTAGAGGCAAGATACTTTCTTCTTTCTCTGTAGATATATTATGAAATGTGTATGAAGCAAAAAGTAGGCATATCGGGCACTAAATTAAAAACAGCACATTATCTTTGGGGATTTTTACAATGTGGTATTTGTTAGCTCTTCTAAATATGTAGGTACTTTATTAGTTCATATTCCTACTCATACCCTCTGGTACTGAGGTAGAACCCAGGGCCTGCGCACTGAGCTACAGCTGTAGTCCGTTTTTATTTTGAGACAGGGTCTCACTAAGTCACTAAATGGCCCAGAGTGGGCTCCAACCTGCAATCGTTCTGCTTCAACTTCCGAGAATGCTGAGGTAACAGGGGTGTGCCACCATGCCCGGCTACTCCATATTCCGAGGAATTTTCAAGCTCATACAAAATTTTGTGTTTTTATATATTTAAAAAGAGGGCCCGCCCCTTCAATTCCATAAACTGGATCCGCCCGATGAATGACTTATCTGTGTGATCCGGGCTGGCGTCTGTATCTGGCTGAGCCGGCTTCCTTAGTGGCTAAAAGAAAATTAAAATAATATCCACTTTTTCCGGGTTGCTGTGAGCTTTAAATGAGCGAAGGCCTCCAAAATTCTTTGTGCAGAACCAGAACACACGGAGCGATGAGAAATCTAAACCCATCTTTAAGCTTGACGGGCGACCAAACCTTTTCAGGGCAAGTCCACACCTACTCTCCGTCAACACCTCTCCTCCATGTGGGGGCGGAGTCAAGAATCGGTTTCTGAGATCCTCCATCCGCCCTTCTCTAGGGAACGACTCTTGTATGACTGGCAGCATTATTAACCAGTACTAATTGGAGACGAGAAAGCGCTAGGGGGTCTTTCAAAGCCGTTTAGGAACGCCTCTTCCAAATTGGCCAATTGGAAGATTTGGAGGGCGGGTTCTCCTCTGGGACGGGACAGAGTGACGGGCGTCTTCTTCAACCAATGAAAATTTAGATGCGAGTAAGCCAATCCAGTCAGGAGTGGGAAGGAGGCAGGGGCGAGGCTGGAGCTCCGGCAGTTGAACCGCTCACGAGGAGGGGGATCCGTGGAGGAGGTGAGAGGCGGCGGGATCGCCGGGTGCTCAGCCTGCTGCCACTATCTTGGGGGGAGGGGGCTCTCGGGGCGAGTGAGCTTCGGCGGGCAGCTGACTCGCAGGGTGGGAATCGAGACGGGGCGCTCTTTAACGTGAATAGGCGCCAGAATGAGGGGTTGTGGGACAGAGGCTACTGTATGAGCCGGGGGAGGGGGTCTCGTAGGAGGGACTTTAATAGGGGAAGTCGTAAGGCAGGAGACAGCAGATGATAGAATATAGAGGTGGTGTTGACAGCGTTGCGATTTAATGGAAGTCTTTTTTAAGGCAGAGCATTATTACACCGCCGACTGGGAGGGCAGAGGTTCCGCCTTCGGTTCTAAACTTTGACTCGGGTGAAGAAGAAGCAGTATTGAGAGAGGGAGGAAGGGAGCCCTTCAGGGATGAGGGTTTGCTTTGATGAGATGTGAAGGCATATCATACATGTACCGATTACTACGTGCAGGCTCCTAGCAAGTGTTTTACATTAATACTAATACTAATAATATAATAATACGCAGTGCTGGGGATGGAACCACTGAACTACACTCCTGTACTCTGAATTAACTAACTCTTAACTTTCCTAATAGATCCTACTGATGGTTAAGTGTGGGCTCTGGCTTCTGGTGGCCCCAGTTTGAATCCTAGTCCTGTGCGAGCCCTATAGCTAAACATCACACTGGCTTGGGGCAAGTTGTGAACCCCTCTGTGCCTTCTTTTGGTCAGCGGTAGAACGACCTCAACTCTTCTCTGTGTACCATTCATTAGCAGCTTCAGCCTCTGCCTAATGGTGACTCCTGGGTGTCTATTTTCAGCCTGGATCTCTGTCCTGAATTTCAGGCTGATATATCTAATGGCCTACTCTTCTTCACTTGGAAGTCCAGCTGACATCCAGACTTCAAACAAACTTGTGATCTCCTCCTTTCAGCCTCCAAACCCAGCTGATGGCAGGTCCTTCCTTCCAGGCTCTCAGAACAAATACCCTGCAGTTGTCCACCACTCCTGCCTTTTCTCTCACCTGTATGTGTATGGTCTGTTTGTCAGCAAATCCATTAGCTTTATCCTCAAAACATCCAGAATCAGGTGCAGCGGTGTACATCTGTAATCCCAGTTACTCAGGAGGTTGAGGCAGAAGGATCACAAGTTTGAGGCCAGCCTGGGCAGCTTAGTGAGACTGTCTGGGGTTGGGGGAAAGCCTGGGTGTGTGTGTAGCTCAGTGGCAGTGCTTTCAATCCCTCTTACTGCAAACGAAAACAAACCAACACAACGATCTAGGATCCAGCCAGTTCTCAGCACCACTGTTGCTACGAGATGGCCAGGCCATCTCCTGTTCTTACCTAGTCTGTTGTAGTGATCTCACCGGGCTCCCTGCCAATGCTGGGCTCCCTGCCAGTGCCTTGACCCCCATAGACAAGGGGGTTCTGTTGAAATAAAAGTCAGATAATACCGCTGCTTTCTTCCCGCTCCTGGCTCCTACTTCACTCAGCAAGAGTCCCCATGGTGCCCACAAGGCCCCCAAGTGATCCAGCTTCCTCCTCTCTCCCTTCAACTCCCCTCCCCGTCTCCTTTGCTCACACTGCTGTAGTCACCTTGGCTCCCTTGCTGTCCTCTGTCCTCTGGATACAGCAAGTACAGTGTCCCCTCAGGGCCTTTGTACTTGTCTACGTGGCTTCTTCCTCCTCTCCTTTAGGTCTCTGTTCAAATGTTAACTTCACAGACAGGCCCTTGCTGACCACTCAAGCTAGAATAGCTCCTGTCCCTGCCTGGCTCCTCAGCTGGCTTAATTTTTCTCCACGACGCCACTGCCTGAAGTCAATTATTTGTTATATCCACTGAGGTTCTCAGACCTGCCCCCTTCATTGGCTCTATGTGGCACCTGCAAGGGCACATAGGTGCACAAAGCATCCTCTATGCAAGTGCTGGTGAACTTATGGCACGAGTGCCACAGCCAGCTGTTTATTGTCTTTGAAAGCTCTAAAAGGTTCGCCATCACTACCATCATTACCACCTCTCCTTGGGTCTCCTTGTTGTATGCACAAGGTTGCTGAGCTGGGAGGGTCTGTCAGTTGGTAGGGTCAGGGTGGGACAGTAACACCAACAGATTGTGGTGCCCAAGGGCAGAGGGTCTCAAATTTAGTGCCTGAGGAGCTTGTAGGAAATAGGCTGGCTCAGAGTTTGGGCTAGAGGGAAGTGACTTGACTGACTCATCATCAAGAGCCTCTGTGTTGGGGACACGGGGGACCCAGCCTGGAAGTCAGGCTTCCAGCAGGAGAGGGTGGAGCTGAGACCAGGATGGTGGCCAGGAAAGAGCTGCAGGAAGACCTTGGTGTCTCCTCAGTGCCTATGACCCCGGTCGGTGGCACCTCCCATTACATTTTAGTCACTGTGCCAGGACAGGGAACTGAAAGTACAGGAATGATGAACCAGCTCTGCCCTCTCAGCTCCTGGTCTGTCCTCTAAAAAAGAGGTCACACTGTCAGTATCAGGAGTGCCGGGCTGGACTGGAATATGTGGTGGTGGGTGGTGGTGGGTCTGCAGAGGGTGGGCTGGGGGTTTCCAGGGTGGTGATTTGGCCGTGACTCTGTGGGAGGTGTCGGTGTGGATCTCTTCCAGGAGCCCAGCATGGAGGGGAGGATTGCCCCTGGGGTGGGGGCTGTGAAGTCTGTGAGCATCCCTGGAGCCAGATTTGGGAGGAGAAGCCAGGGGTGGTGATGTAACACTGGAAAGCAGAAGGGGTCACCTTAGTGGGAGGCGACAGGGAGAGGGCTGGGGGTGGGGAAAATGAGTGTGCCTCAGCTGGAGCCTTGATGTCCTGAAAACCGATGTCAGCTCTGTGGGCCAGAATGGGGCCCTGGGCTGGGCGGTGACGTCACGGGCTGGCAGGGGCGGGGCCTCGGAGGCAGCTGGGATGCCGGCTCCGGAGGCTGGGGCCGAGAAGCGGAGCTGGGAGAGACTTGGGACTGGACTGAGATCGGCCACCAGGATGGGACACTGGTCACAGAGCGAGCTCGGAAGATGCAGGTAGAGGGAAAGGGTCAGGGATGGAGGGAATGGGAGCCCGGCGCCGGGGGAAATCCCAGAAATGGGAGGAAGGTGTTCTAGGAGGGGTCTCCGAAGGGAAGAGAGGTGGGAAATGTGTGTGCGGGTGGAGAGGGGGCTTTGCATACAATTTGGAAGGAATCCAGGTGAAATATGGGGAGAATGGAATACAGGCGGAAAGTGGGGTGCGGAGTAGAACCTTGAGCAAATAAATTGCGGGTAGAATTCGGGCAGAATAATGGGGATTTCAGGTAGAATATGCAGGGAACCCTAGAAGAATATGGGGGTGCTAGTGTAGGGAGAAGCACCCCACCCCCAGCCTGGGAGAGCAGGATGGAAATAGGGAGCGTTGTGGGGAGAAGGGGCTGGTTTCTGGGGAGCGCAGCTCGGGGGAGCTGAGCTGCAATGGTGCAGGGAGGGGTTTCTGCAGGAGGCGGGACTGGAATCCTGTGGCCGTCTAGGCAGCGAGGGACGGAGGGCTGGGGTCCGGGAGGCGGGTGGAGCTGGCCGGAGTGCGGGATTCATTCGTCAGCCGTCCTGCAGCACTTATGAAGGAAGTGTGTGTGTGTGTGTGTGTGTGTGTGTGTGCGTGTGCGCGCGCGCGCGTGCGCGTGTGTGTGCGTGTGAAGGGGCGAGTTGAATTCAGGCAGATAACTCCGAGGCCGAAGGTCAGACTGAGGTGCTGGGTGAGAGCTAAGGACGTCAGTAGAAGTGGCAATGGGCTGCTGCTGTCGCGGGTAGGGGGCTTGTGCGGTGGCGGGGAAGAGGAGGGTAGGGCCAGGTGGGCGTTAGGGATGGGCACCACGAGTGGGGGCGGCTATGCTGCGCGGCTTCGCAGGTATTCCGCGGTGCCGCCAACTCCTTAGTAACCTCCCGCGCCTTGGCAACCAGGACGGCGCGGCCGCTGATTGGCTCGCAGAGTGTGAGGGGCAGAAACTGTGGGTGAAGTCTAGAACACTCGGTGGGGTGAGGCCAGCACTTCCAGGCACCGCCTTGGAGGCCAGGGTGGGAGATATTTGTTGAAATGCGCAGCGATTTGTTTGGAGCATTACCTGGGATTATTAATTTAAATCTCTTAACCCCCATAGAATGAAAGCATAATTGCAAGAGTGTGAGTTTTCCAGGAGAGGGGGCTCCCCAGGTTTAGTGAGCCCTTCCAAAAAGCAGCAGAGAGGTTCCCTCCAAATAAAGATAAGACCTCAGATCTGCAGGCAGAGAATTGCCTGACACGACGTATAGAGATCAGGCGGTTGTCCTTGGGCTCCTGAGAAAGGAGATCTGGGATTGAGTGAAGTAATTTGCAGAAGTTACAGGCCTGTTCATTTGTCTGAGAAGAGTTCAGAACTTTCATTTAATTTACAAAGGCTAAAGGGCTCTGAAAAGGTTAAAGTCATAGAGTTTCAGGCTCCTCAGAATCCATTTTCCAGTGTTAAGAGTCTGGGAAGAACTTCCTGTGGAAAGTGTAGGACTAGAGGTAAGGGGGAGGAGACTGGGCATGGGGGGGGGGTCGTCCCATGGGCTGGGACAGTGGCTCTGTCCTGGGAACGGCTGTGGGACCCAAGACAAAAGCTCTTTTCTTGCTGAGCCTGTTTTCCCATCTTATGCTGGAAAAACTGTATAAGGTATGTATTTGCCTTGTTCCTGTGGTTCCTTTCAATCTCAGAAGCAATAATAGTGATAATGATGATAATGCTAAGATGAATGATTGCTATGTGTCAGGCATCGGTCCATTTCTCCAAGAGTTTTATCTTGCTTAGCTCATTGAATCATACCAGTCCAAGGATGTGAGCACTGTTACCTGGACGTAGGTTACAAAGGCCGTATGAATATCATCTGCCACCGTGACATCTTGGATCCCATCACTTAGCCTCCTCTCCCCATGCTCTCTTCCAGCCCTGTCGACCTCCTTGCTGATTTTAGGGAAAAACCCAGGAAGATCCTGCCTTGAGCCTTTGCCTGGGCACTCTGCTTCTGCTATCCATCTCCCTCCATCCTTCCCCCCATCCCTCCTTCTTCCATCATATCCTCTTAACCCACTGTGTGACTTTATGTGCGTGTATGTGTATGTGTTACTAGGGATTGAACCCAGGGCCTTCACATTGAGCTACACCCGAGCCCCTTTTTAATTTTTCATTTTGAGACAGGGTCTCGCTGAGTCGGTAAGTTGCCCAGGCTGAGCTTGAACTTGCAATCCTCCTGCTTCAGCCTTCCAGAGTGGTAGGATTACAGGAGTGTGCCACCACACCCAGCTATGTACATTTTTGTACTTGGGACTGTGTGCTCCTTTCCTGAGAGCAGAGACATGGTCTGGTTTCTCATCACATCCCCAGTACCCAGGATGGTTCTTGCTTTATGGCTACAGGCCGGCTAGTGGAGGGTTAGGTAACTTGGCCATTCACATGCAGAAGAACCTGGGTAGAAACTCAGGCACCGCCCCCCCCCCCAGCCCTGGAATCCTGGGTGGGCAGCAGAGGCCTGATCCTTTCTTCTAGCTCCTTGGAGAACTAGCAAGTAGTAGCTCTGCTGCCTAAGAGAAGGTGTTTATGCAAACAGCAGACTAATGAATCAAATCAGTGATTAATTCGGTGCATCACAGATGATATTTAGCACTGGCCTGGATTTGGGGCACATGACTTGTGCTCTCTTCTCCCTCGGCTGTCTGCTCAAAGGTTGCCTCCTCTCAGAGGCTCCCCTCTGACTGCTTGACCCCTGTGCTCCTGTACTCCTTTCTAGCTTGATTTCCCCCCACACATGTCTGCTGCATGAACGAATAATAATCAGCAATATCGTGATTCTCTTGGTGATCACATATTTCTATTGGGCAGCATGTGTTGGATATAGTAATGTGTAGGACATAATTCTTAGCTCTTTTATGTATGCTGTCCAATTTAATCCTCAGAACAAGTCTGTGCCATTATTATACCCATTTTCCAGATGAGGAAACGGGCACAGACCAGTGAAGCTGTTTTCCCCAAGGGGCCACAGCTGATGAATGATGGTTCCAGGATGTGAATCCTGGTCTTCCAGCTCAAGAGCCTGGGCTCTCAGCCCCTCTGGTCTCTGTCTCACCACCCTCTCCAGCGAGCCTGGCCATGGACCAGCCACCTGGCCTGCAGGTGGACTACGTCTTCCGGGGTGTGGAGCACGCCGTGCGCGTGGCGGTGTCAGGGCAGCTGCTGGAGCTGGAGGTGGAGGACCGGATGACAGCTGACCAGTGGCGGGGCGAGTTCGATGCCAGCTGTGAGTGCCCGAGTGCCTGCCTGGGATGGGCTCACTCTCCTTCCCTGGGGGTCAGCTTCTCAGAAGACAAAGCCAGCTGGAACCCTGCCGTCTGCCCCCGCTGTGTAACCAGAGGCGCCATGGGGTGGGCTTGGGGACAGAGGCCTCGTTCCTCGTGGAGACCCTGGAGCTGGAGAGCTTGGATGCGGTGACCTTGGGCTGGGCAAGTGATCAGACCTCAGGAGGGACTTTTCTTCCCACCCAGTCATTGAAGATTTGACCCACAAGACAGGCAACTTCAAACAGTTCAACATCTTCTGCAACATGCTGGAGTCAGCCCTTACCCAGGTGGGGCCAGGGTTGGGGGTTTGGGGAGGTTTCTGGTCCCCAGATTCCCCGGATGGGTACCCATCTAATGTTTGCAGGCCCTTCTGCTTTCCCTTTCATTGAAGGAATAGGGCTTTTTCTTGTTTCTCAATGTAAATGACGTATTCTGGTTCTCATAATAGTAATTTCATGTAGACGATTCATACCACAGAGAAATGTAAAGAAAGTGAACATCACTCCACTCCTCATGTCCATGCTTGTTAATATTTTGGTGAAAAGCACTCCAGCCATTTCTTCATTTCTCTGTGTGAGTGCACCTGTGTGCATGCGTGTGTGAGAGAGTGTATGTACAGATCTCTAATTACACATAGTTGATATACTTTCTTTTCTTTTTCTTTTTTGAGACAGTCTTGCTATATAGTTCAGGCTGGGCTTGAACTCACTATGTAGTCCAGGCTGGCCTCAAACTTGCAGCAATCATCCTGCCTCAGCCTCCTGAGTGACATAGTTGATATATTTTCCAAAGGTATTCTGAAGTCTGCTTTGAAAAGATTCAGTCATAGCCGGGGATTTAGCTCAGTGGTTCTGGCACCTGCCGCGCAAGTGCATGGTCATGAGTTCGATCTCCGGTACCAAAAAAAAAAAAAGATTCAGTGATGTTTTATAAGAATTCAGTTACAGCAGTGAGTCTGGCCATTCATGGCTTTCATTTGCTGAGCAACTGCAGTGTGCCAGGCACTATTGTAGTCATTGTGGTGAACCAAAGAGACAAAATCTCTGTCCCCTTGAAGTTGACATTCCAGTGCAAGACACAGAACATTGGAAAAAAAAATTTTTTTTTTTGATACTGGGGATCACACTCAGGACCTTGTGCTTGCGAAGCAGGTGTGGTGCCACTGAGCTAAATCCCCAGCTCATTGGAAAAAAAATTTTTTTTTTTTAAGGTACCAGGGATCGAACTCTGGTCCTTGCGCTTGTGCAGCAGGCAGCGAAACCACTGAGCTAAATCCCCGGCCCCTGGAAACAAATTTTAATGTCAGGTAGTTACTAGGATTAATGGGGGAAAAAAAGCAGATTAGAATGGGGAGTGAGAGGGATGATATTTGATACTACTGTATTTTTAAACTATGAAGTATATTTCCCTGATTACTGATAAAATATGCCCTTATAAAGCTGATGATATTAAAGTAATATGTGGCTTAGAAAGTCCCTTATAATCCCCCTTTCATCTTTCACCCAGTGTATATAACCTTTTAGAATCTATAGGCAGTAGAGCATCGTGGCCAAAAATTCAGAGTCATCACTGCTACTTCTAGCTGGAAACTGAGCCAATTCCTTCCCCATAGTACCTTAGTTTCCCTATTTGTAAATTGGGAATGATAGTAGTTCCCATTTAATAATATTCTGAAGATTAAATGAATTATTACATGTAAAAATCTTGGTATAGTGTCTGGTGAATAATAACTACCACATAGGTTCTGTTTTTATTATTATCAGCTTTTGAATTTATCCTGTTTGTTAGTGGTTGCTTACGATTTCCTTGTACACCTTCATCATCGTGTATCTAACTCAGTGATTCTCAGACTACTGTATGTGGTCTCTTGACCCCTTTATATTCTCAAATATTATTGAGGACCAGAAGAGCTTTTGTTTATGGAGATTTTATCTATCAATATTTATTTGCCACATTAGAAACTAAAACCAAAATTTAAAGATCTTTATGAATTCATTTAGAAATAACTGTAGTAAATTTGTTACATGTTAACCTAAATATCATTGTAATAAAAATATTTTTCCTAAAACAAAAAACTAGTAAGAAGTATAGCATTGTTTTACATTTTTGCAAATCTTTAAAATGTCCAGCTTAAGTAGAAAATTGCTGGAGTCTTACGTGCTTCTGCATTCAATCTGCTCAGGTATGATTTGGTTGAAGAATATGTAGAAAACTCCTGCCTCACACAGATATGAAATTGGAAAAGGAAGTACTGTAATAGCTTTTTCAAATAATGGTATTTACTAACACACTAACACTGGAGAAGTGTAATTTCTTGAAGCTTAGTGGCAATGTGGAATCTGAACCTTATCAGTGAACTCCTGTTGCTATGTTAAAACCCCTTGATGTGTTTCTACTTTGCAGGGATCTTTTACCTCTGTGATTTTTGTAATATCATGCACTGGCCATTTGAGAAATACTAGTTCACTGAGTTGTACAGATCTTCCAAATGTTGACCCATTTCATTAGAGAGTGACATATATTACTGTCCCCAGTGATTTTACCAGCAGAGTCTTGAACATTAAGAAGCCATCAGGTGCACAGTGACAGGCACATGTTTTCCAAAATTTGAATTCAAATTCAAGTGCAAAGCTTGCGTTATATCATTAACAATGAATCCCATTGGTGGTTCTTCTTCAGGCTCCCTTTGTACATTTTTGAGAAAATGCCCACCAAATTCCCAAGGTTGAATAACTGTAGTTTGACTGTCGGTTTATCTTTCAAGAGTAGCATTCCAGGGCCAGGGATTTAGCTCAGTGGTTTTGCTGCCTGCTGCATAAGCGCAAGGACCCAAGTTCGATACCCGGTACCAAAAAAAAAAAAAGAATAGCATTCCATGAAGAAGTGGCTAATCTGGCTCTGAACTCAGTGGCTTAGGCACCTCTGCTTAGCATCCTTTGGTGTGAACAGAAGTACTTTGTGTGTCCCTCCCATTTTCTTGTACAGAATAGTGGCAAGATGTGCACTCAAGGGTCGTGAGTCACTAAATTAATACTTTTTACTCTTTCATCAAGAACATTTCTAAGGCAGACATGGTGGTGCTTGGGAGGCTGAGGCGGGAGGATTGCTGAGAGTTCGAGGGCAGCCTGAGCTATATAGTGAGTTCAAGGCCAGCAAGACACTGTATCAAAAAAAAGAACATTTCTGTTTCATTTCCCATCTTTGGTTTGTTCCTTTATTTCTCCCTCCTCCCCCATCCTCTCTGTGCCTGCATGGCAGTGGCAATTGCAGTGGCCGCTGGCACCATTTGGTGCCCCTGGCATGAGCTCTGCTAAGGCGCCTGTCTGCAGGTTTACTCAGCCATGCTTTTGCACCATTAGTGTGGCTGTCACCACATTGAAAGAGGCACATGATGTCTTGGTATTATGAAAATTGTTTTGACCTCATGGACTCCCAGTGGCTTGCAGACAGCACTTGGAGAGGCACAGGTCCAAGATATCCCCCATGGTTGAGTGCTTGGGTTCTTTCAGTTCATCCCCCGAGCATGTCCTTGTCCCCTGTCCCTGGACAGGGCCTTCGTGGTAGGTTGTGTGCTCTGGGTGTGGCCATGTAGGTCCTGTGGCTGCCCTTCCCCTCCTCTCCCACAGAGCAGCGAGTCAGTGACCCTTGACCTGCTGACCTACACAGACCTGGAGTCCCTGCGGAACCGCAAGCTGGGCGGCCGCCCGGGCACCATGGCCCCCAGATCAGCCCAGCTCAACTCCAAGCGCTACCTGATCCTCATCTATTCTGTGGAGTTTGACAGGTGGGTATGGGAAGTGGCTTGTGGGAGGAAGCCCTGGTATCCATGGTAACATGGGTATCCTTTAAGCATCCTTTTGTCATCTCTGGGTGGGGGCTTACTATTGTATTTTGCTACCAGTAGCAGAGTAACCATTACTAGTGCTTTAAACAAATAGTAGTTTATCACTTAACAAGGTGTCTAAGTAGGTAGCTGCCATACAGCAGTTCCATTAAGGACTCAGGTTCTTTTTTTTTTTTTTTCTTTTTGCTATATGTGTTGATGTGTTGCTTTTGACTTTGTGAAAACAGCTGCTGGACTTGTATGCATTTCATCTGTATCAAAGCAGGAAGGAGAGGGACAGGGCTTGTTTTATCAGACCAGATCGGGCGCATTCAGGGTGGTATGGCTGTAGACAGGGCTGGTTTTATCAGGAAAACAAAAGCATTCCCAGAAGACTCCTGACAGATTTCCCATAATATTTGGCCAGAGGTGGTCACATGCAAAGGCTGCTGGGACAATGAGTATCTGGCTTGCTACCCTCTCTAGTGGGAAGCAGCAAGGGAGAAAGAAGGACACGGGGGGTGTCTCTAGAGTAGCTGGGGACAGTGTCTGCCCTGTGTAGTAGTAGCTCCTGGAGTTTCTGGTAGGAAGTTGGCCCAGCCTCTCTGAATAACATCTTGGGGGGACCTAATGAAGGTGCCCCACCTTCCCCCAGCCCAGGGCTGATCCCAGTCAGGCCAACCAGAGTCTCCCTGTGTGGAGTCTGGATTAGGGTTGTGCCTGGCCGCAGGTCAGAGACCAGTGTCCACTCTGCCAGTGGTGTGTGACAAGGAGCTTGCTCCAAACAGTGCCAGGGCTGTCCGTCCCTCAGAACTGCTGCCTCAGAAGCGCCTAAGGCCAAAGGACTGGTGCAGGGGACATGTGGTGGGCAAGGACAGGGATGGAAGTGGGGCTCAGAGCGTGAGGGTTTTGGGACTCTGTGTTTTCATGCTCTGTGGCTCTCAGAACCCAACTCCAGTGGGTTCTTGGGCCCTGAGATGCTGCGGTTCTAATCCCTCTCTTCAGGATTCACTACCCGCTGCCCCTCCCATACCAGGGCAAGCCAGACCCTGTGGTTCTGCAGGGCATCATCCGATCGCTGAAGGAGGAGCTGAGTCGCCTTCGGGGCCTGGATGCCCAGGATGCACGGGACACACGAGACACTGAGATCTGGCACCTGCGGGAGCAGTGAGTTTGCTGTGACGGGAGGGGGTATCCCATCGTGAACTTTGTCGGTCACATGTATTTGACCCATGGAAGGATGGCAGTCCTGAATTCACCCTACTCCTTCTGAGCCTGCCTTTTGTTGGGTGGGGCTGGTGACACAGTGGCGACCGAGACAGCCCTGGACTCCAGGCCAGTGGGAGAAACAGCTCTGGGCTGGGGCTTCAGAGGGGATCCTGCCTCTGCCTGTAAGGAGGGGTGCTGTTGGCAAAGGGAACTGCATGTGGACAGTCAGGGTGGGTGGTTGGGCTGTGTCTGGTTTTAGTTCACCTTTGCCAGGTGCCTTTCTGACACTGCCCGTGTAGTGCCAGCCTGGCACAGCTGGGCGTTAGTCCCATAGCCACCTGCACTGTCATTGGAAACAGGTGGGTGTGGCAGGAAAGGGAGCTGTATGGGGGTGTGATGGGTCCTGGGATGTCAGGTGAGGGAGTTAGGAAGAGCAAGTGTTCTAGGCAGAGAACAGCTCGTGCCACACCCTGCACTAAGTGGGAAGGTGGAGAGAACAAGGAGAATGACTAGAGAAGGTGAGGCTTTTAGGGTGGGTTCTGGTACCTGCTGTACACTGCCATCTAGGGGTGAGCGGAGTCGGGGGTGATATTTTTTGTACTAACAGTAATACCAGCAGCTAAGGTTTATTGAGCATTTAACTGTGCCAGGGACCTTGCTCTGTGCTGTAGGGTTGAATTCATTTTATCCTCGCAAGTGCCTTTCAAGGCAGGCACCGCTGTCATCACCCTGCTAAGAAGCCCAGAGCAGTTAGGGAAATTCCCCTGGTCACAGTGGATACCATGGCCTGGCTAAAGCCCGTGCCAAACTCGCTTTGTGTCCCCAGCCATTCTGTACTGTTGGTGACTGCTAGCCCGGGACTGAGAGCCAAGTGGTGGCCTTCTCTCACGGGCCAGGGAACCGTGGCTGTGCACTGCTGGATAGAGGGGGAGGAAAGCCACAGTGGGAAGCAAAAGTGGAAAGCAGGAGTAGCTTCATTCTGTTTGTCCACTGGACCAGCCCCTCCCGCGGGTAGCTGCTTGCGCCTGTGCTTCCCAAGGTGGCCACAAGGTGGCGCCCTCTGGCCTCAACTGCAGAACTAGAGAGAGTGACTTGAGATCCCACAATTGGTGGTGTCTTATTTTCCTCTTCACATCCTGGAGTTAGGGAAGACTCCCAGACTCAGTCACTCATTCATCCATCCATCCATTCATTCATTCGTATGACATTTATCAAGTTCATACACTGCCTGTCTGTAGTTGATGTTTATCAAGCATTTTGTGCCAACTGCTTTGTGTAGATTCCTACGACCTTACAGGAGGTCTTAGCATCATCATCCCTCCTCACCAATGAGGCCCAGAGATGTGACGAGGAGCTGCTCAGGGTCACCCAGCCTGTAACAGATGGGGTAGATTGGATGCAGGCAGCTTGGCCAGACCTGAGGTGTCTATGGGGTGGAGCAGACAGTGGAGACTCCTGGAGTGGGGACGCAGACAGCAGGCAGAGTCACCCTGACAAATGGCACTGTGTCAGGCTGGTGCTAGGAAGGAGACATCGGAGAGCTCAGCACATCCCGCAGGCAGGCAGCCTTCCCAGGATGAGTGGAGCCTGTCTGTCCAGGGGCAGGATGGGGGCTGGCATGCTGGGGAGAGGAGCTGCATTGGCAAAGGCTGGACCCCGTGGAGGTGGAGGAGGGCGGAGAGGTAGGGTTATGTCACCCAGCATAGATCCAGTGGGGAGCTGGGGAACCACAGGGTGCTAGGATGTTTTATTTGGTTTTTGTTTTGTTTTGTTTCTGGTACCGGGGATTGAATGCAGAACCTTTCGCTTGCAAGGCAGGCACTGGAACCACTGAGCTAAATCCCCGGCCCTAGGATGTTTTATTTGGAAAACTGCCAAGCACATGCAGAAGTAGGCAGCAGTATAACACACATGCGCTATCTCCAGCCCTTGTCACCCACATTTTGGTATCTTGTTTGATTACCTCTTCCCTCCTCCCTCAGGACATCGTATCTTCTCCATAAATGCTTCAGCCTGTATCCTTAATATGTAATATGGACACAGAAAGAACACAAGTGATGTTACCATGCTGGACACAGCCACCATCCTCTAATTCCAGCCGGCATGCGTTCACACTTCCCTGTCTCACAGATGTCTTTTTTGATTGGTTTTGGGGAGGCGCCTTCCTGGCAGTGCTGTGGGGGGTACTGACACTGGTGAGGGGAGCTCTTGAGAGTAGCCCCCTCTCGTACAGAGTCCCCCCAGCCCACCACCCAGGGTAGGGGTTCACACTGGCTGCCCATTCGAATCACCCTGAGTGCTCTGCAAGATGGAGAAGCCCAGGTTGCCCCCAGTAGACCATTTATATCAGAAGCTCCAAGGAGGGAGGTTCCTGCCCCCTCCTGCTGAGATTTTTCACTACTTACTTTTCTTACTGTGAATGAAGTGTCAGGCACATAAAGTATAAAATATAAATGTACAATGTGATAAATGATCATAACTCTGGCACCCATGCAACGACCAGACAAGTTTAGAGGTTGAAAGTGGCCATGTCCCCAAAGGATCCCCCGGTCTTTTCCTGGAAGAGGCCACCTGTCCCCCCTAGCTCTGCTTCTCACCGTGGATAGATGACTTTGCCACCCCACTGTGCATCTCTAAACAGTATAATTCAGTTGCATCTCTTTGCACTTTATATAAATGGAATTAAATACTGCATTACTTTTTTGTGTCTAAGATTCTTCTATGCTCTTTTGTGTAGCAGTAGTTCATTCATTTAGATTGTTATTTTTTCATTGAATTAATCCACCACAATTTATCTAAGCATTCAGTGGGTATTGGTAGTTTTCAGTTTGGGGTTTCTCTCTCTCTCTCTCTCTCTCTCTCTCTCTCTCTCTCTCCCTCTCTCCCTCCCCCTCTCCCTCTCCCTCCCTCTTACACACAAACACACACACACACACACACACACATACGTGCATCCACATGCAAACATACCCCCCCCCACTTGCATCATGAGTGGATACCCAGGAATGGAGCTGCTAGCTGTTCCTGTAGGTTTTCCTAGATAACACCAAACCCAAACTTTTTTCAGAGTGGCTGTAACCCTTTATGAAAGCTCTTTGTGATTTTTATTTGCATTTCCTTGAGGTTGTGCACCTTTTTATGTGGTTAGTAGTCATTTGTGTTTCCCTTTTATAATTTGCCTGTTCATCTGTCCTTTTCCATTTTTCTGCTACTTCTATTGATTTCCAGGAGTATTTATTTATTTGTTTATTTATTTTTCAGTACTGAGGATTGAACCCAGGGAGCACTGAGCTATATTCCTAGCCCTTTCTATTTTCTTATTTTGAGCCAGGGTCTTGGCAAGTTACCCAGGCTGACCTTGAGCTTATGATATTCCTGCCTCAGCCTCCCAAGCAGCTGGAATTACAGGCTGCCCCATGTGCCCAGCTCAGGAGCTCTTTATATAGTTTGGATGTGAACTCTTTGTTGGCTTTATGTTTCAGAAACCTCTTCCCACTCAGTAGCTGGCCTTTCCATTGTCTTAATATTTTGATGAACAAAGAGGTTCATAATTTTTATGCAGACTAATGTAAAATAATTTTTAATAGAACAATTTAAAGACAGCTGGCATCTTTATAAATAGTATTCCAGTCTATGAACAGAGTATAACTCTACATTTACTTGGATTTTATTTAGGGGCTCAGTTCTGTCATACTTTTTTTCTGTGTGGTGCTGGAGACTGAAACCAGGAACTTCATACTGAGCTATGTACTAGTAATGTCCCCTTTCCCTGTTCCCTACACATCCCCAGCCCATTTTTATTTTTCATTTTCAGGGAGGGTCTCAGTCGATAAATTGCTAAATTGTGAACCTCCTGACTGACTCAGCCTCCCAGAGTGCTGGGATTTTAAGTATGCACCACCACATCTGGCTTCCATCATGCTTTTTTTTTTTTTTTTTCGGTACAGGGTATCAAGCTCAGGTCCTTGCACTTTTGAGTCAGGCGGCAGAAACACTGAGCTAAATCCCTGGCCCTCTATCATGCTTTTTCTTAGATCCCCTTGTATATTTGCAGGGTTTTGTTCTTAAGTATAGATTGGTGATGGTGACTATTATAGAGCTTTCAGTGATAACAAACAACCCGCTGCAGCATGCATGCCATAGGATCACCACCACTGGTATGGCTCATAATGGTGTTTGTATAATTGATATATTGATTTGTATATCTAGTTACTTTAGTAAGTCTTATTTCTAATAACTTATCTGTAGTTCCTTTTTGATTTTTTGGTGTTGATAATCATTTCATTTGCAAATGGGTGTTTCATTAATTCCTTCTCAGTCCTTACCCTTATTTTTCTTGCCTTATTGAGCTGGGTGGGACCTCTGGCATTGTAGAAGGTACAGAGGAAGTAGTCACGGAGTCATGGGTGGTGTCCTTGTCTTGCTCTTGATTGCAAGGGGTAAATTCAACATTTTGCCAAAAACGTGCTCATCCAAATATTTTTTTCTTCCTAATTTTACTTTTTAGGCAAAGTGAGAGAATGAATTAATTTGGGTTTCACCGCTATTGATGGCCACTGGCTACACTGATTTTTCACGAGGGGCCATTAAATTGTGATGATCTAATTTTATAATTCTTTCTGCTTTGTTAGCTGGAACTTTTCAATAAAAACATTCTCTCATTAAGTATTTGGTTTCCCTGAGGTGTATTCACACAGAAAAGGTGTGATTAATGCTTTACTCTTTTTTCATTTGCACTACTGAGGACTGAACCCAGGGAGTGGTGAGCTGGATCCCTAGCCCTGTTTATCTATGCATTTGCTTATATATGGGAGCTCAAACCCAGAGGCACTCTACTACTGAGCTACTTCCCAGCCCTCTTTAAATTTTTAATTTTGAGACAAGTTCTTGCTAAGTTGCCAGGTTGGCTTTGAACTTGTGATCGTGTCCTTTTTTCCTCTTTTTTTTTTTGGTGGTACTGGGAATTGAACCCAGGGGCTTTGGACTGAGCTACATCCCCAGTGGTTTTGATTTTGTTACTTGGAGACAGAGTCCTGCTAAGTCGTTAAATTGCCCAGACTGGGGTTAAACTTGTGATCTTCCAGGCTCAGCTTTCCTGGTAGCTGGGATTACAGGCATGTGGCACCGCACCTGGTCTGACTCTTCTTTTATTTAACTTTTGTCAGAATAATGAGTTGGTTCCCTCTTACCCCACACGCCTGGGCTACATAGTGAGTTCAAGGCCAGCCTGAAGTATATAGCGAGACCCTGTCTCCAAAAAAAAAAAAAAAAAAAAAAAAGGGAATAAAGTTTAAGGCTTCTTTGCATTTTTTTTTCTTTAGGCTGTATCTTACTTGCTAAAATAATGTGTTTTAGTTACGTCACGTAATTCTCCTGTATTACACCAACTCTGACGTACAGTTAGGTCTCTTTGAGGCAGTTTTCTTTTAAAAGCATTAGCTGGGTTTAGTGGTAGTCCAGCTACTCAGGAGGCTGAAGCAGGAGGACTGCTTGACCCCAGAAGTTGACCCTGGGAGGAGATGACCGTGCCCTACCTACCCCCTCCAACCCCGTCTCCCTCTCTGCCGCAGGGTGTCCCGCCTGGCGTCTGAGAAGCGCGAGCTGGAGGCGCAGCTGGGCCACTCACGGGAGGAGGCACTGGCCGGGCGGGCGGCTCGCCAGGAGGCCGAGCAGCTGCGCGGGCTGGTGCGCGGCCTGGAGCTGGAGCTGCGGCAGGAGCGCGGCCTCGGGCACCGGACGCCAGCCCGCCGGGGCCAGGACTGCCGCCGCCTGGCCAAGGAGGTGAGGGGCGGGGCGGCCGGCGGGACCGAGCTGGGCGAGGCCTCAGCCTGGGTGTGGACCCCTGCGCTCCTGTCTTCCTCCGCACAGCTGGAGGAGGTGAAGGCGTCGGAACGCAGCCTGCGAGCCCGGCTGAAGACCCTGAACAGCGAGCTGGCCTTGTACAAAAGGGGGTGAGGGGAGCGGCCAGGGTTGGGCGGGGCCTCGGAGCTGCCAGCCCGGCCTGCTGTTGGGTTTGGGGCTGGTGGGCGAGGCCTGGTGGGCGGGGCCTGGGAGGGACGGCCGAGCGGGGCCTAATAAACCCAATGGGACGTCGGGAGGGTCTGGGAAGCTCAGGTGGAAGCGGAAGGCGGGGCTGGGGGGCCCGCTCGGAACGGACCTGGCGGGGCCCGGCAGGTGGGATCTGGCGACCTCCATTGGCATTTACTGTGGATGGCGGAAAGTTGGGACGGTCTTGAGGGGGCTGTGGGAGACCTCGGGAGGAAGGGGCTGCGAGGGCGCTGAGTTAAGGTGCAGGCGTGGCAGACAGGGCTCTGAAAGGGGAGGTCTTTGGGGCCCCGTGAGAGGCGAGAGTGGGAGATGACTGGGGGTCGCGGCGAGGGCGCGCGTGTCGGAGTTGACGCGGGCCAGGCTGAGGGTTCAGGGAGGTGGGGCGTCGGGGGAGGACTGGGGTTCGTCCTGGCTGCCAGAGCTGACTGGTCCTGTGTTCGCAGGAGGCGGACTCCGCCGGCGGCGCTGCCCGCGGCCCAGGAGGACCGGGCTTCGTCGTCGCGCGAGCGCTCCACGTCGCGGGGCCGCGGGGCCGCCCGCTCGTCCTCGCGCGAGAGCGGTCGCGGGGCCCGGGGTCGGGGCTGGCCCGCCCGCCCCTCGCCATCGCCCTCAGGTCTGCACGCCCGGCCCGGGCTGGGGGGCGCGGGACCAGGGCACGGGGCCTGAGCCGTGACCCGGCGCCTCGCCACCCCCGCGCTGTCCTAGGTGGGCGCGCGCCGCGCTTCGACCCCACGGCCTTCGTGAAAGCCAAGGAGAAGAAGCAGAGGGAGATCAAGATGAAGTTAGTGAGCCCTTCCTTCCCGCTGCCCTTATCCCTGCCCAGGTCCTGTCCGCCGCGGTCCCTCGCCACTCCCCGCCTCCCAGGCCACGTGGCAGGTGGGTCACCGGCTCCGGCTGTGACTCGGGCAGGGCCACGCCCTTCCCCTCCTAACTTGGGCGCAAAGCGGGCGACTCCTTTCCCGTTTTCAGGCAGCAGCAGCGGAACCGATTGGGCAGTGGAGGAAGCGGGGACGGTCCGTCCATCTCGTGGTCTCGCCAGGCCCGGCCCCCCACTGGCGTGACCGGCAGAGGGGACGCAGCTAACCGCTCGCGCCACCGCAGCTCCTCGGGTCAGTGGCCTGGAGCCGGGGTGGGTGGGAGGTGGGGTGGGTGGATCGGGTCGGGCGAGCGCGGAGGCTCAGGCCTTTGTCTCCCCCTAGTGGACAGTTTTCGCAGCCGCTGCTCCTCGGCCAGCTCCTGCAGCGAGTTTGAGGATTTCACCGAGTCGCTCTCCAGAGGGTAAAGCGTGGTACTGCTGGGGGAAGGACCGTTTCGAAAGGATGTCTGGGAAAGCTGCTAACAGCCTTTTGTAGGGAAAATGGGTGGTGGGGGACTTGGAACCACGGCAGTGGGCCACGTGGGAAGTACCAAAGGCCAACCCACCATTGCTCCTCAATTACCCCTTCTCTCAGCCTTCGCTGTCACCGCCGTGGAAAGCCACCCAGCTCCACACCTTGGAGTGGGTCTAACACAGTAAGTGTTGCCAGGCCCTGGAGGAGGGAAGGGTAGCATTAAGACACTGACAACCAGCTGTCTGCATTTCCCATGATTCCGTCCTAGGGGTCAGGTTGCCGAGGTGACTCTGAAATGCTCCTGGAAACAGGGTGTTTTGAGACCATGTGGTTGGTGGGAAGAATAGTTGAGTACACAGGATGCTGTGAGTTTCTGGCCTCGAGTTGCCAGATCTTCAAACCAGGCTGTTTTACCTGTATGACTGGAAATACATAGCCTCTCTGTGCCTCAGTTGCATTACCAGTTAACTGGGAAAGGTAATGACTGACATCACCTTAGAGGGTCCTTGTGATGGATGACACAAGGTGGTTTTGATGTACTGAGTGCCCAGTAGGTGTCAGCCCTATTTTCTCGGAGGTCCTGGGATTTCCTGTGGCATTCGTGGGGTAGGGAGAGGGAGAGTGCCTGACCGTCTGTCCTGCCTCCCCTATCACCAGAAGTCCTCCCCCCGGGAAGGCTGCAGTCAGAGACGCCTGGCCAGTTCAGGGGGCTGGGTCCCCATCAAAGGTGAGCCCCCCCCCCGCCTGCTGGGAAGATAATGAGGGCAGTGTATTGGCTTGGAGCTTCCTGTGGCTTCAGACCCTTCACAGCCCCCCACATCCACGCCTACCCTCACAGAGTACAGCTCGGACCACCAGGCGGCTGACATGGCCGAAATAGACGCCCGCCTGAAGGCCTTGCAGGAATATATGAACCGGCTGGACACGCGGTCATGACGACAGAGAGGTGGCACTGCCTTTCCACCCCTACCCACCAGTGGGTATGGCACAGCAGCAGGGCCAGGGCCAGGCTGGTCTACCAGCACAGCCAAATCCTGCCCTTCCAGGTGCTCCTGGGGTCTCAGGTGTGTGAGGTCCTGACCCTGGCCTCTCCCTAGGCAGTGGATACTGGGAGGAAGGGTATGTACATTTTGTAAATAAACGTGTTCTTCCTTGGGACCCTTTAGCTTATGACTGAAGGGTGGGGTGGAGTGGGGTGGGGAGAAAGGAGGAGGAGGGGAGATATAATTGGGACCTGCGGGTATTTCTGGCCATGTCTGTGATGGGAGGCAGATGGGGATTCAGGCTCAGGAAAAACTTCCAGACTCTTAACTTATTGCAAGGAGGGACCTGAGGGGTGGCAGTGAGCAGCCAAAGGAGTCCAAGCAGAAATTCTGCACAGGATGTCTGTGTGCTGGGGAAGGAATCTCCTGCTACATGGGCCATTGGCTGAGAAGACCCCCTGAGCTTCTGTTGGTGACATCTGAACCTGCTTGGTGCTGATTCCTGGGCTCTGACCTGAGACCTCTGGGTTCTGAGCTGTGATATTGTTTCTGAGCTGGGATCTCCGGGGTCTTGGTTCAGGGTCGGGGCCTCTGGGTTCTGAGCACCAGTGAGGACAGAGCGCTGGGAGGAGGGGACTGGCTGGGGTCCTGTGGGAGGGAGGAGGGGGCTGTGTGGTGTGACCTGCTCGGGACACAGTTAGAGCTGCATCTTTATTGGAGGAAGTGGGAAGGAGGTGGCAGCAGGGCTGGCCAAGGGAGGCTTGGAGGGTGGGCAACAAGCAGGGCCTCACTCAACGATAGTGTGGCCAACTCTGGATGATTTGGTAGAGCTGATCACCTGGAGAGAGCGTGGCCTGCACATCCCGGTGTCCTTTGAGCTCATAGTTGGATCTCAGAGCTCCCCGATCCACACCACAGGCCAACAGATTCTGAGCTGCCCGGACGGCCCGTTTTGGGGGCACCCGCTCTGCAGAAGCAGATGGAAAAGTTAGGCTGGTGCTCCCTCCAAAGGGCAGAGGTAGTAGGGGGTAGTGGTTTGTGTGCTCTGAGCTGGTTTTATTCCCTCTGTGTCTCAGTTTCCTCATCCCCAGTAGGGCTAATGGTTACTTTTTGTAAAACCCACAGAATGGTGTCTGGCTCAGGGGAGGCCCTTATCAAGTATGGTTATCTCGATGGTGATGGCTTGTCCTCCCCCTCTGCCCCCAGACCTCTGTCCTGTCCACAAGAGCCACCATCTATTAAATACTTCCTAGATGCCCTGGGCTGGCTTGAAGATTTTTTTTTTTTTTTTGGTACTAGGGATTGAACTCGGGATCTTGCGCTTGCAAGGCAGGCAGAGGAACCACTGAGCTAAATCCCCAGCCCTGAAGATTTTATATAGATCAACTAATCCTCACTCCCGCCCTGAGGTTGAAAATGATCTCATTACCGGAAGAGGAAGTGAGCTGAGGAAGTGCAGTCCCTGGCCTGAGGTCACAGAGCTTGTAGATGGCAGAGCTTCTTAACCACCACCCACACTGCTGTGCCAGCCTCCAGCCCCCAGCTCTATGCCACCCTCCCCCTGGATGTCACTTACCCATGTAGTTGCCCATGAAGCTGATGCCAATGGATTTGGAGTTCCAGTTGGGACCTGAGTGGGCCCCCTTGGTGTTCCAGCCCCGGCCCTCATAGACAAGTCCGTCTTCTCCAATCAGGAAGCTGTGTGGGAGGACAGGGGCTGGACTAAGGGAGGGCTTATGGGGGCAGCGCCTCACCCGCCTTCCTGCCACAGCAATGTCCCCAGCATCAACCTGACCCCTTCGCTTTCCACAATAATAATGACCATGGCCATTTATTGAGCCCTGTGCCACATGCCAAGCACAGCTCTTAATGTACCTTTTTCTCATCTGCAAGACAACCCTGTGAGCCACTACCACCCCCATGTCATGTAGAGTCAGAGAGGTGGAGTCATCTGTCCAGTGTCACCCAGCATTTGGGCAGAGCCTGACTTGCACCCACGTGGTCTTACTCCTTGCTCTCTCCTGCCTCTCTGGAGGATTTGTTGAGCTCTCGCTTTGCCACACAACCTGAGGTAGGTAGTTGTCTTCCCCTTGTGATATGGAGGAGCAGAGACTCAGAAAGCCACATGGTTTGCACAAGGTTATGCCCCTCAGAACTCTGCCCTTCCCCCAGCCTGCCTCTGGCCTTTGGGGTCCACTTGGGGAACAGAATTAGGAGCTCAAGGGCTGAGGTCACATGTGCCTCTGGAGGGTCCCAATCCTGGCAGCAAAGCCTTCAGGCTCATTCAGTTCGTCCTGACTGAGTGAGGCTCCCTGGGCACCTTGGCATGAGCCAGATGGGTCTGCAGGATCTGCAGGCTCACAGGGTTGGAACTTCCAGTCCAAGCCCTGGGTCTGCCACTTAGGAAGCCAGCTCACAGAATCCACCTCCCAGAAGACTGGTCACCCAGTGGTGCTGGCTGCTGGATCTGGGCTGGGTGGTTCTGCTGGCACCTGGCTCTGGGAGGGGGCTGTTTGTATATTTGTTACCTGGATACATCAAGTTTAAACCTCAGCCACCATTGCCAGGGGATACAATCAAGATCCCCATTTACAGGTGAGGAAGCGGAGGCTTGGAGAGAGAATGTGATATTGACAAGGAGGGGTGTTGAGAATGTCAGATGCTGAATCCTGAAATCTGGGGAGTAGACATCTTCTCCATAGGCCATTTAGACCAGCAGTTGCAGGGCCAGGCTGCAACTTCCTAACTCCTAGGGAACAGTTAGATGGGAGCATCTGACCCCTGGAAATAGAGCCCGGAAGTTGGAGCCTTTGAATGATGCGATCTGGAGTGGGAGAGGCTGAGGATACCCTGGCAGCTTTGAGGCTTCTCTGGGATCTGCTGGTGCAGTCTCTGGGTGGGACCTGGCATGCTGCATTCCCAGCAAACTCTTCGGGTGCTTGAGATGTTCACTTTGTCCCGAGGGACACCCTGTAGTGTTCAGATGTTCCCTGTCTCTGTGGAAGCTCTGGTGTGGATCGCAGCCTGGTGCACTGGAAAGGCAGGTGGGCACAGCCTGAGGGCGATCCAACCAACCCCAGGCTGTTTCTGCCCTCCAGCCCGCTGCAGCCTGTTCTCCACACAGCAGTCAGAGGAAGCCCCTTAGAGCTGTCGGTGTATGCCCCTGTGCTGGTCAGAACCGTCCATGGCTCCCGTTTTACTCAGAGTGGGAACCCAAGTTCTCATTGTGGCCAACAAGTCCTGGCCCACCCTTTCCTCACTCTACACTCCCACCCCACCCCACCTGACACCAGTGAGGTCTGCTTGCTGGGCCTCGTGGCATTTGATTTGCACCTGTGTCCTCCCTCATGCAGCATTCCTCAGCTGCCCCATCCTAGAGCCACCTCAAAGCCACTGCCTCATGCAGGCCTCGCTCTCCTCAGGCCTCTGAAGGAGCCATAGAGGATCTGGTTTCAGTTTCTGAGGTCACCCTCGACTGCCCTGTTTCTTTTACCCACCACTTCCATCACTCTCGGGTCTGTCTTGTTTCTCTCCTGTTCAGCTCTGCTGGTCTTTAAACCGAACACAGGATAAAGCCACACTGCCCCCTGCTGTGTCCTCATTCTAGTCTCCTGCACACTGCCTGGTACACAGTCGGTGCCTAATGGCAATAGCCCATGGGCTTGCGGCTCCTGTGACACGCTAGGCAGTGTCCTAGGTGTGTTGAGGCCCCAGGCCATCTCAATCCCACTGACTGCTGAGGGGTAAGCTGAGAGGACAGGACCAGTCCCTGCCCGGGAGGGAGCTGCACTGCGTCTCAGCGGGTCCCACTTCATCAGCGTGGATTTCTCTTCCCGATAGGGCACCTTTTAAAAGGGGATCCTTTTGTAGAGGAGGGGAGAGAGGTGATGGGCATCTGGTGCTGGGCAAAGCCTGCCCCTTCCCATAGCATCTGCTACCCGCCCCTGCCCAGCTCCGGGAGTGACCCCGGAGGTACAGTGAGCTGTCCAGCAGGTCTGCCTGGGCCCCCAGGGCCTCTGTCCCTGCCCATCCCAGGGCCGCCTGGCCTCCCTCCGGACTCACTTGTAGCCCACGTCGCACCAGCCCTCCGTGCGCATGTGATAGTACTGCACGTTCCGGGCCTGCTGCTCACAGGAGGTCGGGCAGTCGCAGGTGCTGCCCGCCGTGTGCGATATCACCACGTAGCGTGCCGGCAGGGTCATGCGCTCGGTGCAGTCGGAAGCCAAGGCCTTCCAGTCCCTCCGAGGTACGATGGAGCCGCAGCTGCTCTGGCCCCGAGCTCCCTGAGCCACTCCGAGGAGGGCAAGGAGGATCCAGGCAGGCAGCGTGCAGCGGCTGGACATCGTGGGGAGACAGCTCGAGGACAGCTAGGGATGCTCTACCTTGCAGGCTGCCTTTATCTGCAGGCTTGCGTGGGTGGGGTGGGGCCTTCCTGTGGGGAACTGTCTGGGTGGGGTACATTGGACTCTAGACACAGCTTCCTCCTCTGGCAGCTCTGGAACAGGCCTGGGACTGGTCTCGCTGTGGTTTCAGGAAGAACCAGGGTCTGGACAGCTGCCCTGCTTTGTTTTCTCTTGGTGGGGCATTGGATAACTTACCTGGAACTTGCACCAGAGGGAGAGGCCCAGGGCTTTGGCACATCTCTTCCTGCAGGTAACAAAGGTTCCCATTTTTTAAACACTTAATTCCTCAAGACTGATGACATTAAACTCTTGTGGGAAACTAAAGAGGTTAGTATTGGTAAGCACGTTTCACAAATGAGTAAAACAAAGTTGGGAGAGTGGAAGTCAGTTGCTGAGATCTGACAGGTGGTAAAGCCTGATGGTCCAGACGACACCCCCACCCCCCCACCCCCCGCCCCAAGCCAGGCTGCCTGCTGTTGAATTCTGGTCACTTTCTCCTGCCTGAGCCCTGACAGGTTGTCATGGGCTCACATGGATTCTTGCTTAGTGCTCATAGAAATTAAAACTAAAGCAACAGTGTGAATTTCCAGGCAAAGCCTTAATTAAAAAGTAAAAGAAAGGGAAGCACAACTCTGACAAAGATCAAGCCTATCTCCTGACAAAGGAAAGTAAGAGAAGATAGTCTCCACAGTTGGAGGAATGGAAGGGTCTGTTCACAAAGGAACGGAGACCAGCTTTATGGGTGCTGTGGTGGTCTGGGGTCCTGTTGATCATTATCTCAGTCCTGGTTTTTAAAAATTTTGAGACAAGGTCTCTCTCACTAAATGGTCCGGGTTGGACTCAAACTTTTTTTTTTGGTACTGGGGATTGAACTTGCGCTTGCACAGTAGGTGGCAAAACCACTGAGCTAAATTCCCAGCCTAAGGAGACTAGTTCCTATGTTTGATCCCCATTTGAATTTACTCCTCTGTCAATTACCTGTTCATTTGCCCATAATGAAATGGGTTGTTTTTATTATCAATTTGCAAAACAGAGAATCCCTAACTGGGATTATTGAGTTGTTGGATATGTTCTGTGCATCTCAGTTCTTTTTAGAGGTATTAAAATGTAATGTATACACAGGAAAGTACACAACTGAGCTTTCAATAGAATTAATAGAATTAAGAGAGTGCAGAGCTCTATTAATCTTCACAGAGTGCATGCACTCAAGTATCCAGCACCCAAATGAAGAAACAGATCTTCATTTAAAATTTTCATAGATATTGCCAGACACCATTGCAAAAAGATTTTGTATTTATTTTTACCTAGCAGTGTAACCAGTTTAACATGTTTTACTGATCCAAGATTGATACCTGATTGTTGTTTATTTAGATTTCCTTCAACATTACAGAGGTGTTTTTGTCTTTTAGACATATTTATGGCTGTTTGCATCCAAGTTTTGTGAATTATCCATTCATTTGTTTTAATCATTTTCCTCCTGGGCTGTTGTGTATGGGGAATAGTAACCCTGGGACTGTCAAACGTATTGTAGAAATTTTTCTCCAGTCTGTTTAAAAGCATCCTTTTTTCTTCTTTTATGCTTTCTGTATCTTCTGTCCTGTCTTGCATTAAGAAGACCTTTTCATGCTGAGATTATAAACATTTTCTATTTGAAAAAGGATTGTTATTTTGTGTTTTACTTTCAGACCGTTAGAAGGGCTAGCTGTTCCCCCAGAATTATTTATTTTATGGTTAGGCCTGGTTTTAAATTTCAGGATTCCCACTTGTTAGCTGGATGACCTTGGGCAATTGGGCAGCATTTGACGTAAATGACCACTTCCTTGAAATGTTCACTTCCCTTAGGTTCTGTGACCTAAGACTGTCTTCGTTTTCCTTCTGGTTCTCTGTTTTATTTCCTTTCTTTCAGACTCATTTTTTTCCCTTCCTGAACCATCACTACATTTATTTATTTAGCATTACTGGGATGGAACTCAGGGCCTCACACTGACCCACACTCCCAGCCCTTTTTATTTATTTTTTTAAAATTTGTTTTTTTTTTGTACCAGAGATCAAACTCAGGACCTTGTGCTTGCAAGGCAGGTGGTGGAACCACTGAGCTAAATCCCTGGCCCCCCTTTTTATTTTCATTTTGAGACAGAGTCTCACTAAGTTGTCCAGGCTGGGGTCAAACTTTCAATCCTCCTGCCTCAGCCTCCTAGAGTGCTGAGATTATATTCACGTTGTTACATCCGAGAGATGAGCACTGCTGCTCTGTTTTTCAAGCACCCTACTGGGATCTTAACTCAGCCCCAATAAAAACTTAGAGGGACAACGTTTAATGAAAGGAAGACACTTTTGTAAAGAGGAAAAGGAAGGGAGACGAAGAAGATAGACAGCTGCCCTGATAAAGAATCCGGGTATGGGGCTCAGAAAGATGGAGGACCCGTGGGCCCTTTGTCCCCAGCTGCTTTTATAGGGGGTGAGTGGCCCTGCCCCCGCACCCGGAACTGACCATAACCAGGCTGGCTTCCGGGCACCTCTGCCTAATGTCATTTCTTCTGCTGCTCTACATGCAGCTTATTTCTGTCTGTTTACTTGTCCTTGACCTACCTTTTAAGGCCTCTCTTTGGGGTGGGCAGCTAGTTGGCAAGGGTGCCCTATTCTTGGCTAGCTTAGAGTTAGTAAGGGGGCGTGTGGATGTCTGTTGTACTCTATGATGACCCTAGAGTGAATAATATAGTGAGTCTAGAGTGAATACACATGCATATAAGTGCACAGGCATATATGTTAGTGCACAGGTGTGCGTACACACTCCCTTAAAGTTAGACGGCCGCCCTCTTGCTTCTCCTACATTTTATTGGGGGGGGCTTATCGTTTGTGCACCTGGTTTTCTCTCTGTGCCCTGTTTGTCAGCATTTTTTTTTCTGGTCTTGGTGCAAGTCCCAAGGCCATTTGGTGCCTCTCTTTATCTGGTTTTTCTTTCTGTCTCTACCCCCTGTTCATGACTTATTTATTCTCAGGGGAATTTTTCTAGTAAAATTTGTGTTTTATTCTTTCTAGCCAGGGTTAGGTGGAAGACTCAATGAGGCTACCATTCTATTTTGTTTGCAGACAGTGTGCTGTCTGTACTGCACTGTACCTGTGCATGGATTTGAAGCCTGTGTCTAGGTGGGTCACCATACCTGCCAATTACACTCTACTTTTCCTCCCCAGTGATGTCATCCACATCATGGCTTTGGCTACCACTGAAATGCAGATTGGTTCCCAAATTTCAGTGTCCAGCCCAAAGTTCTCAGCTGAGCTCTGGATCTATGTACCACCAACCTCCTTGACATCTCCACTTGATGTCCCACTGGCATCTCCAGTACAAGATGACTTATTTTCTCCATCATATCAGCGCTTTTTCAGGAGTCTCATCCAAGGGAGTGGTGTCACCATCAATCTATCTGTTCTAAAAACCATAAATCTGTGCACCTTCCTTGAAATGTTCCTTGTCTTGTATCAAGCTCCCCAAACAATGCCCAATACAGAACAGATGCTCAATAAATATTCTACTTTTTTTTTTTTTGGTACCAGGGATCAAACTTGGGTCCTCGCGCTTGAGCAGGAGGCGACGAAACCACTGAGCCAAATCCCTGGCCCTCAATAAATATTACTTGATGAAGGACACCATACTGCTGTTACCTCCTAAATACCTTACTCATCAGATTCCTTCTATTTCCACTCCTCCCACCCTGTTCCAACCCCCTCTCCTCTGGCCTGTATTCTCTTCCCCTCCTCAGTGATCCCCTGGCATGCACTCAAGCCCTATGAGGTCCAGACTCAGCTGATCAGGTCTTTTCTGAAGGTCACCCTCCAAATGGGTCACATTCTCCTGTGGCTTCTTATGACCCTTAGGATGGGTCCTAAGCTCCCCGCCACGTGACAGCAGAGCCTGAAAAAATCGCCATCCTGCCCTCCCTGCTGCCCCTGAGCACAGGTCATCTACCCTGCCCCCATGGAGGTTTCATACGCACAGAACAAGGTTTCACTAGGGGAACTTTGAGAAATTGAGATCTTTGTACTTCAGCCTGAAGGTTACAAAACACTGAGGTGCCTTTTGTAAGAAGATAGGAATATTTACACATCAGCCTAAGAGGGAGACGAGCCTTGTGGGCGTTTGCTACAGCTTCAATGGATAATTGTTACAGTGCTTTTAGTCCTTTTAAAACTTTTATTTCTATCAGTACATGATTGTGGCACACAATGATTACATTCATCACAAGGGGGTCGGTATATGTGCATAGCTCATCTTAATTCTTTTTACGTCCTCGTCCCCTCTTTTCTCTCCCCATTCCCTCCGTCTCTTGGGTTTCTAGTTTTGAGTCTATATTACTTTGTACTTTTTTTTTTTTTTTTTGGTGCCGGGGATCGAATTCAGGACCTTGCACTTTCGAGGCAGGCACGGTGCCACTGAGCTAAATCCCCGGCCCCTACTTTGTACTTTTTGACAGGAGGAAATTAGATTTACTCTCTGTATCTTTTAGAAAATTGAGTTTTTAAATATTTGAGTCACTGACTGACTTTAATGTTATAATTAAGCCAACGTGAAAACTCAGATTCTCTTGGAGTTATAAAAATACATTTGTTTTCTTTGTTGTATCAAAAATAATAGAACCAAAGTTAAGTAATGATGACCTCAAGGATATGTTTAAAATGAAAGGCAGTGTCTTAATTTTTTTTCTTTGATGTTTCTATTCCTGGACTGCCCACTTCCTTGTGCCCTATCCTAATTGTCACTGAGTGTTCATTCCATGTTACCTCCTCAGAGTGATACGTCCTATCTCATTTCTCAGAGTTGGAAAAAAATCTGTGTATCTCTACCCCCCCCATTTTCTCTTTGTATAGACAATTGAGTTCATAATTAGGTTCATCAAGTAATTCACTGTCCAAACCATGACATGTGAGACTGAGGGAGGAGCGCTTAATGACTGTGCTGGGCCAATACGTGTGCACAGGACTGTCCCAAACACTCCTAGATGGATAATTGCTGCTTTTAGAGATAAGGCAGGAGCCAGGTGTGGTGGCACAGGGCTGTCATTCCAGCATTCTGGGAGCTGAGGTGAGAGCCCAGCCTGGGCAATTTAGCAATTTAGAAAAAAAATATAAAAGGGCTGGCATATGGCTCAGTGTGAAAGCCTTAGGTTCAATCCCTAGTACTGGGGGGAAAATAGATAATGAAAGGGGTGTGGTTTCCCCCTTTTACTCGTCATTATATCCTTACTTAGTCAGTGGTGCATAGGTGTG